AAATAGAGTTGAACGTTGAACTTTGCCTCGAAATCGACGTATAATATCGAAACAGTTCTCGTTAGAGGGATCACGTTTTTAGTAATCAGGATTTTTCCACGACGACGTAGAAACGGTTTTATCTGGCCTTTTCACGAACGTTCCACGTTAAAGGAGTAGTATTGCTCGTTTCGTGACACCGAATTCACATAGTTCGTATTAGTTTCGATCTACGAGTTATATATAATGTTTCTGAAGCGTGAATAGTGGGTTGATTCCCACAATGATTTTGTGGAAAGAATTTGTAAAAGGAATAGAAAATAAGGGAATATTTGTAGAGAAGAGTATAAAGAAAAAAATATTTCAATGATATTAGCTTGTTCCAAAAGTTAAGAAGAACAAAGGTTCCCTCTAGCGACTGATTAATTAAGCTACGAGTTGAAGAAGAAAAATTATCAAGATACATGAAAATATATTTTTTACACGTATTTTTTATCACACGTACGTAATCTTTCAATGATAACACACTCTCTTTTAACAGAAATAATTCCCTTTTTAGGTGAACAATCATATTGAACAAACCATTCAAGAAAAGCTTAAACACATGAAGAAAGATACGTGCGAAACTTGAGAACTCTGTTGAAACGTCTCATCAGCAAACCGTACTCCAATTTGCCCCTTTTATGGGAGCACGTGTAGTCAACCATTTCAGGGTCTTAAACGAGAACTCGTGTACCTTTATCTCCCGTGATAACGGTGATTCTTGCTTATGGCAAGGCAACACTTAAACCATTATCCGATCCGTGTTTGAACAACAAACATCCCTCTCGCCTCGAGTATAATTTATCAAAGAACCGATACAGAAGAGGCCCTTCTATCCATCTTCTAACCGATTTTAAGATGGCCTTCGATCGTCGTGGTATTGGATATTTCGAATTAGAATTCTGTACGCTCGCGCTCTCTGGTGGGAAGTCGATAAAACCGTGAAGAAACTGTCAAATATCAGTAGCAGGAAAGAAGATAAAATTAACGATGCGGGTGATTATAGTTTGATGTGTGTTAAGGATAGATTCACGTTTGTGTACTTACACACTTGGCAGGGATCAGAATGGGGAGTAAAACGTCGTCAAGTGGTTGAAAAAGGGGGTGGAAGAGGGGCGAGTCAAGGAGCGAGACAAATAAATTTCGACGGTACATTGGGTTCGTTTCCGCCCTCGTATCGTTTCCACGTGAAAGGGAAATGTCTTCCCTTGGAATTAATTTCTTGGTTGAACATGAAGACATTTGGAGAGTATCTTTGGCTAAGATTATATTCCATTTCGAGAAATGTTCGAGATAGTTGCGAATCAAATGGACGATGTAAGAATCCTTATTGATTTTTTTTTTAGGTTTTCTTTTAGAATTCTGAGTAAAATGGAAATAATGTCAAAAGTTGTGTTGTGAATTATTGTCGGATCGTTAATTTGAATCAAGTCCATTCTTTAACATGTATATATATTAAACTTAATTTTAATTTTTTCTCTTAATTTTAATTTTATGCTAAATTTTCAGTAAGAAAATAAGAGAGTATTCAAATAAAATTATTTTAATTAACCATCTTATCTTCACTAATTGCATGAAGCGTATAATTATGTAAATTTCTAACTGCTAAATTAAAGTAAAAAATTCAAAAAATGTCAGAAAATTCAGAATTTTCTTCGTATCTTTTTTTTTTCGTTCTGATAAGAACCATGTTCTATTAAAAAAAAATTAAAATTCCCTATAATTGTCAACTTATGATAATTGTTTTTTTTTATAACGACTACATACCATATTGCTCTGACCAAAATGTTAAAACTCTCCTGTTTTCATAAATAGTTTAACTCCATAATTTACCATAATAGTGAAAGAAAATTAAATATGATAGATGCATTTGAATTAAACATTTAATTTAATTTCCTTTAATGTTTTCTCTAATTTAATAACTTGAGCGAAAATCCACCAGTACAATATTTATAAATAATCTTTATTTTAACCGTTTCTTTTTCTTTTTAGTACATATAATGAATATAATTTCATCATATTGTAGATTCAAATAGAACCATCTAATTTTAATAAAAATTAAATACAGTACGCGCTTTAAATATGCATACTTCCAGCAATTCTCGAAAATTAATTTTACTTCATTTCTATTATTATAAATTCACAGAAATCACATGCTCAAAAAAATATCTAGATCTAGTTTAAATTACTATATGTTAAAAATAAAAAATGTCACGTTAAAATTTGAATTGAAACCTGTTTTCAAATAAACAACTTAACGCCTACGTACATAAATTCGAAATTTCGTAGCACCGACTTGGTAAAAAAAAAAAAAGGAAAAAAAATTCGACTACCTCGACAAAATTTTCTTCTCCCAAATAGAAAACCGCGAAACTCATCGTTGATTACGTTACATTTTCCCCCCGACATCTTTCTCCACGACGTGGCTCGTACGTGGGAAACCAGAATTTCTCGAAGCTCGAGTCGAAATTCGATTAGGATATCCGAATCGAACGTCAAAGCTAAATGTCCTCCATGTGCTTCGGCGGAAAAGCGTTGCTGCGCCACGTGACCGACAAAAGAAATCCGTGCACGGATATGTGACGTGAAAGAGGCACAAGTTTCCCAGGTGGCGCCAAGTTGCGAGCATAAAATGGCGGCCGAGCATTCTCGAGCCAATAGAGTAAATACGTGTTAACTGAACCGCAGCTTTTATTCAAATAGTACGCAACCACGGCTATATATATATATAGGCGAGATGCTCGCCCGTGACTCGAATCGTTTATTCGAAACTGATGGAGGGATAGGGAGGTCTTAAAGGTGGATGAAAAACGAAAGGGCACGTAGCCGGTTCCAGGTTAGGAATACATGACACGTTCACCTGTGTTCTCGATTTAGAGACGGGATTGATTTCGCTGCGTCGTTAGAAGCTGGAACGGATAATGATGGCACGGATGGTGCGGATTTTTTTGCCTTCCCCAACTACGTAGACACACTGACGATTCAGCGGTTGCTAATGCTAAAAAGCTAGATTCTCCTAGGGCCATTATAGAGAACCACGATCCATGATAGCGCAATCGATGTTGCTTGTTAATCGTAATGAGAGATAAATTCGTAGGATAATGAAAATATTTTCCATGGGATCACTTGGAATTTTTAGAATTATTTTTATTTAGTAAGATGCTTGATAAAAACTAAAATGTAAAAGTTAAAAATGAATATACAGTTTTATTCTTTTTTCGATCATTTCAAGTTCTTTTAAACTTCTTTGTTTCTATAATTAATTTTTTATGTCTCTCTTCATTAGTTATTCATCACTTTTTGAGGCTGATAATTATTAGACGGTCGCTTTAAGTGAGATGTGTTAAACGTGACAAATTCTACCGTTCGTACAATAGATTTATTTGTAAGTTGGATTTTGATTTTTTTTACAAATAATTAAAATTAGGAATCTTTAAGGAAGAAAATTAATCCCTGCCAATAATATTCTAGATTACGATACAATGGCAATATTAGATCGTCCATTTTCAGCGGTATATAATTGAAACTAAAATAGAATCGCAATTTAGCTACGAATATTCACCGGTCGCTCTACAAACGTGTACGACGTATCCTATTTCAATTGATTAAACTTTACCCACACGCTAATTGCGTTTAAGTCTTAACAATTCGCGGCCACATTCACCCCGAAACTTTGCCTTTGCCCTCTTCGGTTTTCGAGAGATTACGACGAGCCGATGGAGAAGATCGTCAATTCTTTGTTTCGTTGAACGGATTCCTCCGTGCTTAATTATACTTTAATTAAAATCCGCGTACGCCACCCGTGGGAAAGTTTCAGAAGTTAATCCCCGCGATACTTTCATATTAGCGGGCCACAGCCGTTAAAATAAAACGAGTTAATTACATTATGACACCGGGGATGTCGTACCCCAACTTCCCCTGTATCGTTACCTCTTTTTCAACGTTCCACAATCGTGATTTTTAAACGGAAGGTGTCGATAAATAGTAAAATTTGGATAAAATCAGAGTTCAGGGAATGGAAAGATCATTTGAACATTTCTATTTTTATATTAAAAATCATTTTGTAATATGGTTTTTTGATAATAAAAAATTACTTACACGTTATATATAATATTTGTCAGGCAAGGAAAAAATTTTTGGAATAGATTTAGGATAAATAAATAAAACATATATTGAATCGATCGATCGAACGTTTGACAATCATAATTTTGAAATGGAGAGTATTGGTATGTAGCTGATAAAAGTTGAACAAGTGCTTGAAAATCGGGATCAAAGCTGAGCATGCATAGTCGATTCTGAATGTAGAGTTTAAAGCTTCGGAATTTCCTTTGTATTTTATCAAACATGAAAGAAGGAATAAACGAAAGAAAAGAAGGCACGAGAGAGATGTTTATTCAAAATAAACTTATCGTTCGTTTTAAAAGAAATTCTCGCAAACTTTTACTATCAATTTATTACGAATAATTGAAAAATATTGATAAAAACGTTATATATCCACAATACAATACGTAGAATTCAATGATATAACATCGAAAATTTTTTCCAAATAACTCAAAACTCGAATATACCACAATTTTGCCCGATAAATATTCATCAATAAAGATCAACTTTCTTGAACACATATTGTCTGTTCGAACTCCGCACATACCCATCACTACGACGAATCTACGCGCTCTGTAATTCGCCAATTTCATTTATTAACTTTAACAAAGTTAAATATTGTTTAAAAAATCACCTCATGCTCCCACGATATAATATATTTCACGCTTATTGAATCAGTTAGAAAATTAATCCGTCCCTCAAACATTTCCCACCAAAAACTAATGATTGCCCGCCTAATGTGAACAATTACACATTTCGTCTGACAATCTGCTCTCAAACTTGATCAATCCGCGCCGGATAGAAGGGAATTTCGAATGCGACTTGGAGATAAGTTGGATGCGGCTGAAACTATCGTGATATCCGGTCGTGTGTTTCAGATGACAGCAATGTCGAGGCAGCGGTACGCGAACCGCAGCAGCGGGAACAGATAAGGAAGGGAGGGAGCCACGCGTCGGGCAATCATGTGTAGTGTCATGTGGCTCCTTCGGCTCCTAACGACTTGCTGCCTCGTTTATCTATCGACGTCCGACTTCCACACAGGTATGTGCCTATCGTATTTCCACTCCTTTCATTCAGGGGGGGAGGGATGGGCAAAATTTGAATCTCGATCGAAGTTAAGAATAAAGTTAAGTTCGACAGTAAGTGTTCCACTTTGTTATTCGTATATATTCGATCGAGTAAACCGAGCACAGATCGTGCGAAGAGAGGATCAATCGTTGTTGAATTTTAGATAAAGTTTGTTACTTAAAGTAACTTTATTCGAAATTTTGACCGCTGGTTACTTTTTCTTACCACGGTTTCAATGCTCTGCAAGTTCGTTGCTGAGAATGATTGCAGTCACTCAACGATTGTAAATACGGTAATTCATCGTTTAGAGGAGTTTATATTCACGTTGAATGTAATTGCAGGAGGAAATGTGTTATATGAAACAGTTTTTTTTTATTGTATAACAGGAAATAATACGCGCTTTATTTTATTTTGATATTATACGTAATAAATTTTTGTCTATTAATATTTTAAATACATATAAACGGGATAAATTAATTGAATCAAAAATCTACGTGTGTAAGTAAAATCGGTGTTTAATTATATCGTTAACAAATTAGAACAGAAAAAACGGAAAATCTCTCTATCAATTATCATCCGTCATCGAGATAACATCCACTTCATCGGATGTTATATCTATCATTGAGGATTTTCTCGACATATGCCATTACTGCTCTGCCTTTAAAATTGAAAATTCATTATGTAAAATCATCGAAATAAACGTCAGAAGATTTTCATGCAGCCATAGTCGTTGGACAATTGGAAAGATCAAGGACGCTTTGCGTTTCGTTCGACTAAAGCTCGAACACGCTCTTCTCTCATTAATCAGAGCCAAATGACGTGAACGATTCATAGAACATCGTATCGAGAGTATTGAGTTGTTGGAACGATAATGTTATCTGACTCAGATTTCAATGAGCCATCATTGCTTCTCGATATATATTCAAACTCACTGATGTGTTAATTGAAAGACACTATGAATATTAATATAGAATAATGGGATAATAAATTCTAAATTTTGAAAGATTTATTAAAATTTAATTATTCTGGAAAAAGTGTGAATCTTAAAATTCAACAATTCCACAATGGTCTATAAATTCCTCTGAAACTATTATACTACGAACAAAGATATTTTGATCTTGGATCAATCGAAATTTTCGATCTTAATACGACTCTCACAACTATTCACAGAACATAAAGGCTGAGAATCCAGAGCAATCTGTGGTTTATCTCACGATCCTGTGATTAGAGTGCGGTTGTGCTTTTCGAGGCTCGAAATGTTCCATAACCTGTTTCATGACACCTCGTCTCGTGAATGCTAAGATCTTTAAGCTCCGTGATTCGAGATAGATTCTATCTCGACAAGGGATAAAGTTTCACGCCTCTTGAAGCGATTCATGAAATCCGTCTCTCCAAAAAGAGCGCGCCTCGATCGAAGAAAAATTTCAACTTCCAATTCTTACAAATAGAAGCTTAAAAAAGAGCTTAAATATAACTCTTTAAAAAAACAAAATAAAATGTAACGTTAAATTTCTGATCGACAATCTATGATCTTATTTCAAAGGGAATTAATTACTGTTAAAATATTTTTATTAAAATCATGCGTCTGCAACCGAACTCGAGCAAGCCTCGAGTTATCGTCGTCGCGTGACGCTCTTGATTAGCTAATGAATTGCGTGAAAACGACACGGGGCGGGCAGCGTAAATCGTGCGGGATCGCAGCATACCATAATCGGCGCCACGATCCACGCGAACGAGCGAAGACTCCATTAACCGAGGCGGGGAAATTAGTTTCCATGAAATTCAGATTTGCGCCCCGTATATATAAATCCGGAGCAAATTCGTACGCGATCGGTTTCCTCTCCCTCCTCCTCCCGTCGTAATTAAGACGCGAGGTCGACGACCGCCTCAAATTGATTTGCGCTCGTCGATCTAAAATTTAACGTTTTCCTCGAGGTGGATCCGTCTTAATGTTTGCAACCCGCTTCCTTCACTCGTTTCGCAAATAGACGAGTAGTAGAAGGCTTGGTCCAACACGGGTCGAATTATCTTTAATTGGTTTCGAATTTATTTTCCTCTTTGATGTTCGAGGGGGTCGCGAGAGATACTTTTCGCCTGTGTTTGGACAGATTGGATGCTCGGGATCAAACGCGTGGAACAGGGTTGGACGACGAATGTGGAGGGGGCGCAGAATGAATGATGAAACTGGATGCGATGCATACGTGTTTTCTTCGACAAGGAAATTTTAGGGAATTTTTTAATTGGTTTAATTAGTTGGTTGGGGGTGGATTCGATTTTTATTCGACACGTCTCGAATTAGTAATTGTTGATTAGATTATGTAACTTATGTAAAAAGAAGATTGGAGATTGGAGAACGTGAGATACAGAATCAAGAATGATTTGTAAGTCTTTCGAATTCAATATTAATCTATTATATAATTCTAAGGATATTGATTTTAAAGTTAAATTTAAATTTTTAACGATTTGCCGGAAAACTTGGTAATTCATCGTAGATTTTCGTGAAAAGTCGATGCGTTGATTGAAGAATTAATTTTTAATTTTGAAAATTCCGCTGGAATATTTTTACGGGATAGAGAAAAAGGTAACTGAATTGAAATTACACGTTAAAGAATTACAAATTAATCGTAAATTGGATCGTTTCTTCGATCTAGAATTTAAAGTTAGAAAAAAACTATTGTTGAAACTATTATTACTACTTTTATATTTGAACAAAGAATATAATAGTGATTAAATAGCGATAAAATAAGCTTTCACGCTATCCTGTTATATAGGACGGTCCGCCCTAATCTTAAACTATTATAGATAGATTCCATGTTTCATCCGGATTTGTGTGATTTATGAAAGGAAGAGGATTTTAAAGAAAGGGTAATCCATTAACCAAGCTGCAGGATTATGTTCCACGAAATTCAAATCAGAAAGCGGATCAATTTGAAGCTGAAAGCATTAGAAAATTTGATTTACCATCATTCTTCAGCATTAAAAGATATAAAAATCAGCTTATTACATTTCGTGTATAATGAATCAGATTAATTCAGATTCATTTCCGGAATAATTTTATCAATATTTATTTCAATTAAATATTAGAAGAATTTATTTCACAGATTATTATTATCTTCTCTAATGAATTTTACCAATAATAATAATAAGAGTTGACGAATAAGATTGAAGATATGTTTATTGATATCTGCTACAGGCAGATATTTTACCCGCAATCGAAGTGTCTGCGTGATGCAGCTTATTCGTGTAATTAATTTCGATCGCGTAACAATACGTTACCAGTAAGTAGCACGGAATGGAACTTCAACCGAGGGATTCCCACTTGTAGATTAGGTGACTATCGTAAATCATTTCGTTGGATCCATCCATCTTCCGCGGCGTCTTCTTCGTGTACAAGACTATCCATCCTATTTTTCACGTTGCATACCTACGTTGCATTTGTTTGCCTCGAAGATTACATTTTATTGAAAATATCCACTCTCCTTATTCGAATATTTTATACCGTTATTAAAAATCTTATTAAAAACGAATATTAATGGCATTGTAATCGAAAATTTTTATCGATTATCAATGTATCTCATACTTGATGATATATATTATAGTAGATAGTATTATTTTTTTTTTTACTATACTTCCTACGGCCAGATTTTTTGATAAAAGTTTGATAGAAGTTTATTTGAAACGCTTATTTGAAACATCACGCATCTCATCACATTGATTGATTTTAAAAAGAAAATTCTGGATATTTGGCAAAATCGTTCAGAAATAAAGATTATATACGATACTCTATTGATTGATAAAAATAGTAATTAATGTAAATTTATGATTAAATAATCGTATTAAATTTTACAGAAACGTTGAAAATTGCTTCTAATTTTTCTTTTTTCTTTTTTTTTTGCCAGAGGCTGTACACATTTGCTCGTGTGTTTTATACATTAAATGATGCAGTAAAATAAATTAAAAAATTTGACACGCGAGTAATAAACGCGAAAGAGAAATAAAATAAAAACGAAAATCGGTGTAGATTATTGCACTGGTTTTCGTTGTACACGTGAAATTCAGTAAACCACGTCAGCTGTCCATCAGAATGGAACGTCACGGATTCATGGTTGTGGATTTTTTGTTTTCCCCGATTCTTTTGTTCCTTTTTTTTTTTTTGCACATTTCTTCATGAACTCCATGCGATGAATCCTCCATCTCTTTGCATTCATCTTTTCTGTTTCCTTTTCCATCCCCTTTCACTTGTCCAATTATTTTTACACATCGAATATACTGAAATTCCATCGTTCTGTAGCTACAACTCTAATCTACAACAATTATCGCTTCAAATCTTATCCATTCCATCATTACACTACACATAATTATAAAATTATTTTCTTAATTTCAAATGATCACTTAGCAATCAAACAACGATCATTTTCATTCCCTGAAAACTTTGAATTAATTTTATTTAATTAATTAATCTCAAAAATTAAAAATAACTCCCTCTCAATTTAATAAATTTTGAAACAATTTCTTATAATCTTTCCATAAAGGAAGCATAATTTTTTTCTTTAAATTAAAAAAAAAAAAAAGAAGCAGAATTATAAACTGAATCATAATCGCGAAACGAAATTATCAAGTTTCCTCCGTAGCTATCGTTCACGTAGTCTATCGTAACATGAAGGTACGTTAACTAGATCCCGTTTCCCGCTTTCATGTTCCCGGATACGACACCGACGGCATTCCTCGACTAGACATTAAAGGATTTCACGATAATCTTCCTTGATATGGAGTTTTAAAACGTCACCGAGCCGTGTCACTATTACTGGTAACGTAATTGCTTTCGCGGCGTAATAATATGCATGCATCTTCGAGGGCTCGTTTAAGTGAACCGACACGTAGACGAACTTGCACGAGTTAAAGACCTGTTTATTCGTTGCGCTTTCCAATTTTTTTTTCCTTTTCAGTAGTTCGTAAAGTCTATACGGGTTAAT